ATAGTAACTGAAATGTATCAGCACGCACTTTGTAATTACTTTCTTCAACTTCATCACCATCATTATCAGAGAAGACCAAATATTCTTTGGTGATTCTTTTACTCATTCCTTCAACATCCACTTTATTTAAACACTGGTCACGTTTCTGGTTCGCCAATTACTTTCTTCAACTTCATCACCATCATTATCAGAGAAGACCAAGTATCGTATGGTGATTCTTTTACTCATTCCTTCAACATCCACTTTATTTATGCACTAGTTACGTCTCTGGTTCGCCAATTACTTTCTTCAACTTCATCACCATCATTATCAGAGAAGACCAAGTATCGTATGGTGATTCTTTTACTCATTCCTTCAACATTCACTTTATTTATGCACTGGTTACGTCTCTGGTTCGCCAATTACTTTCTTCAACTTCATCACCATCATTATCAGAGAAGACCAAGTATTCTATGGTGATTTTTTTACTCATTCCTTCAACATTCACTTTATTTAAACACTGGTCACGTTTCTGGTTCGCCAAGGTAGCATGCTTGATTATTAATTTTATTGGATGCACATCATCAATGTTTATATGATTATGAGTAGCATTGGTCCTGCCTAGGTATGAAACCGATCCAAGAAACCAATCCTCAAACTCTAACAGCAATTTCCTAAGTTCTTATTTTTGTTCTTTATCAAATTTGACAGCCTAACTTTCGAACAGCGACCTCAAATGTTCTAGCAATAGCAACAATCCGCTCACAAACACAGTTCAGCTGAAGAAACATCAACTATGCAGCCAGCTTCAGTCACTTATGCTTCACTTACCTTGCTGAAAACCATTCCATCTGAAAGCTGGATAGTATTTTTTTTCGTAATTGTAAACCGTCACTGACACTAACCCAGTGCACAGTGCATTTTTATGGATTGTTTCCATTACTACAGCAGATGATGACACTGCACCAAACTGAGTTCATAGCATACACCACTTGTATGTTTAGAGTACTGTAACTTGTATATATATATATATATAAACAAACACACACACACACACACACACACACAAACACACACACACACACACACTACACACACTACTACACTACTACGTTCGTTCGTTGTAGTACTACGTA